TCTATGAAAACTGGATCACGATATGCAAAGGTTAGCTTTGGTACCAATAGGCTCGTGATTCAGGTTAAACCTGAACACTGCACAGTGGGATTTGCAGACTAAGTAGCCTGTGGATGAAAAGTGCAAGTAGCTTTTAGTAGTGTCAGCCAGTGGGACAGTTTGTCCATGACTGGTTGCACCACCCCACATGTGCCCTGGGACATCACCCACGGCCAGCAGCCACTGCCCTGAAGGGTCTCTGTTGGTAGCCAAAACCTGCCACCTTTTGATAATCATGCTTTTCATTATTTAATGTATTAAGAAGGCAACTGAAATCAGTAAGAATAAAGACGGATTTGTGTGTGTTTCATACGATCACTGTCATCTATCCGAAAGGTGTTTTCACTTTCTAGTGTCTCCTTCGCACTCTTACGGCAACTAGCTCAAAGGGTCCTGGATGTTTGTTCTTGTTTTCCCTCTTCTCTTGCCCTAAACCAGACTCCCCTGTCCTCTCATCTTCCCATACACACTTTATCCACAACTATTATGTTGATTGAGGCTACAATGAAATATATTATCTCACCATATATTATCTCACCAGAGATTTTACTGCCTTGCATTTGATCTGATAAATGACTTCACTTCAGGGGTCTGTCCTGCTGTCTTTACCATATCTAGGTCATGAATCTATTTCTATTATAGGTACAGATGACTGAAAAGTAATGACAAGTTCCATGAAATTTTGCAGGGAAATTGAAAACATTTTTGACTACTCTGCAGTCTTCCACTATCATTTCAGAAACATCCAGTCAGCTAGAGAGGAGGTCAAGATGTATGTCCTCAGTTTTATGGCATGAAAATATCTGCCTGCTTTTTGCCAAAATAATGAAATTATTTAAAGTATTTTACAGTTTTCCCAGAGCCATGATTTCCAGTTTCACGAGCTTCACAGATCAGTTATTACAGTCTGTTTTTTTATAACCCATATCAGCCTCTCAACAGAAGGCATGGATTTGACTCTTTGATTTACATAAAACCTATTAGATTTTCATCATCTCTTCAGAGGGAACAGAATCTGTAGATCTTTCACAAACCAGGGCAAGTAGAAAAGGAAACAGCAATTAATTAAGATAAATTTAAATATTTTTAGAATGAAATTTTGATGGAGGAAAGAAAACCACAGTGGAAGAAACTACTATTATACGTAAGTCTGCAACGCTTAGTTGCCCTACTCGAAGTGTCAGTGGCAACTTTAGTACTGCCTAAAAGGCCTGAAATAGCCATTATATATCATAAAACAACACTACGGTTGTTTCCCTCTCCATCTTCAAAGTAAAAGCAGCAAACTGAAGAAGGCGAGGCCCCACCAGGGCTGCACGGGCGCAGACCTCACGAGGAACAGCAGGTACAGGTCCCCCCAGCCCTGGGGCTGACACCAGCACCGACGCTGAGCGCAACACAGACATACGCAGACCAAGAATGCAACCCAGGGCTGCTGGTTTTCCCATTTTTAAAGATTACTCATTTGTAGAGTCACACATTAGTAATTTTCTTTAAGTTCACTGAAGCAGAAACTAACTCAACACAACTATGGTGAGCCAATTTCTCACAGTTTCTCCTTGAGGAAAGAGTTGATAAACCTGAGCTGCGAGATTGCCTGTGAGCCCCGAAGGCTCTCCATCACACCCGATACCTCCTGATAGCTGTATGTGACGATTTGGCAAAACAACAACAAGAAGCTGATAGTAGAAAGAGAAATTTAATACCAGTGCTTGTGATTTATGAAATGATCTAACTATTACAGGTTTCACTTGCAGTTTTCCTAGTTGGAGAGTCGATACGTAATTCAAGCTCGCCCCCCAGTGGACTCCATGCCCACACCGGTACATTGAGTTTTGAAGACACTGGTGAGAAGTATTGGGGACACAAAAGACAGCGTACTTAAACAAACCAGGCTTATTCAAAGAGAATTAAATTCAACTGTTACAATCTATACCATTTGTTTCCGTTTTTAATTAAGATTAAAACAAGTATACTTTCTAACCAACAAAGTTGTTGATCCTGTCAAAATATTGCACTGTTTTTCCTCCTGTACCCAAACGACTGCCAATGTTTTAATGGCTATTTATATAGAGTAAATGAAGGAAAAAAAAAGTTCTCAAACGCATCCTGCTGAGGTAAACAATTGTCAGCAAGATCAGCCTGCTTAAAAAAAAAAAAAAAAAAAAAAAAAAGTCCAGATTATGCAACACTGAGTTTCTGTGAGCTTTTCTCAGAAAGTTTCCTACTGAAACTTGCTCACCCTTGCGTGCATAGCTGTCATACTTCATTTATACTTATCCAAAACTGCACTAATTACTGTGGGTCATACATGAATAATTAACTTCTTTTGCCTGAAGCAAAAATAAAGGTCAAGATAAAAAATGTAAAATGAGATTGATATATGGAGTATGCTCATGGGCAATGGTACATTTAAGTCTGAATATACCAACTTCTTACCAAGACCTGAGAAGTGTTCCGTAAAGCACGCTTAATTTTAACAGCATGACACAGATTTTCTCACTGGCACCATTGGCTAAATTCAGCATTCACCTTCTCTCTCAACTACACTTACTTTGCAGCAGGCGTGAAGACATGACAATATAAAGCAGTTAACAGCTGACCATTTAATGAAGTTTCTTGATTTGATGTTATTTCCTTTTCTCCCTGAAGGAAGAAACCAACATCCAACATGACTGCAAAATATTTCAGGCAGCTGCCTTTTGGAGTGGGGATTAATTTCGGCCAGCTAACAGCCCGGTAGGTATCCAGGCTTCTTCCGTGCTCAGCAGTGAAAGATGCAAGCCAATCCCTGGGTCTCCCTGAAGAGGGATTAATGTGCCCCAGAGGTGCCAATCCCTCTTCTCTGACTACCCAGAGATCCCAGACAGATAAGCACAGCCTAGACACCCAGCTGCCAGGGAACCAAGGCTGGAGAGATGGACCCTACGATTACAGCAGATACAGAGACTCCCTTCGTGTTGCTGGAAAGTTACAGCTGCAAAAACTGTAATTACCAACACCATTTCAAGACTTCAGTGCCTAGTTTTGACCACCTTAAGTGCACATCCTGAGATTCATCCGTGCAGACTATCTAACACTGATTTGGGTGTGTTACCTGCAAGCGCTGGTCTGCCATGAGATCACTAATGAATTACAGACTCGTGACAAATGTGATTCTCAGTGTTTTAAAATGTCGCAGCAGAGAAGAGCCTTCTGTATTTCTTGGGTGTGACATTTCTGAGGTTGTCTACATCTAGTTTTGTAACTCAGTTCCTTACACGATGCTTGCTTACACTCTGGGGTTTGTCAACCACCTTGCAGGCTAGAAAAGAGTGACCTTGCTGTGGTATAAGCACATAAGTGACATTTTTGGTTCAAACCAAACAGTCTATTGTTTTCATGCCTCTGCTGGTCTCTCTGCCTTCTAATCTGCTCCAGCCATATAGTGCTCGAAAGGTGATACAGGCAAGAATAGGTAAATAACTTAGAAATCGGGGCAAGGAGAAGGAAAGTGATATGGTAAGGTTAGTTTGGGATGACAGAAGTAGAACAAGAATGACAGAGAATGAGGTGAAAGGGTAAGAGTATATAAAATATATCAGAAATGGAGGGATGAAAGACCACATTGAAGACAGAAAAGAATAGGGAAGAGGGAAAAAGAATTAAGACAAGACATGATAAATCAAGACAGAGGAGAAAGCACAAGCATTAATGGGATGATACAAAGGAACTAGAATAATTGGCCTAGAGGGAAATGTAATGAAATTCTCAGGTCACCAGAACATATCTGCTGTTTAAGGAAGGGACTCTTACCTTACAGAAATTGGTTTAGTAGGGGGTATTAGGATGGAGCCTTGTTCAGTATTCCTCTCAACAAAAGTCCTACCAACCAAAAGACATATTGGAAAGAGTGATGGAGACATGGCCTCATTTGAAATGGAGAAGCCATCACTTAATTTTTTAAAATAAAGTCTCATACTCTTTAGAGTTCATCACACCACAGAAAGTGCAGCAGATTCTCAGTAAAGAACATTGTGCTACATGCTGGCTAAACACCATCTTTTCTCCAAGGAGTTACAAGAACACTGAAGTACATTAAGAGCAGAGAGATCAATGAATTTAATTTAAGCAAATCAGCATCAGAGTAAGAAACAGCATTGAAACTCAGATCATTCTCTCCATTGCCTTTCTAGCCATTCAAGTGTTCCCCTTTTAAATTGTTCTTGATGACTTCAAATTGTTGCTCCTGAGTTTATCTACAATAAAATTACAACAATTACACATCATTGCTTCAGCTACCCTTACATGCCTGTCATGTAGACTAGCAGCAGTCCGTAAGGTTAATAATGACACCAAGTATTGATTAAGTGTTAAGTATTATTGTCACTGAATGGGATCCAGCTTATCTAGGCACCTCTCTTGCATCTCTGTTGTAGGGACCTGACTATCCTCTGCAGTATGTGGTAGGTGCCTCCAAAAGCCTTGAGTTTACACTTGAATTGAACTGAAGGCTTTCGAAGGCTACATCTGTAAAAGCAAGTAGTAGTTTAGTAGAATCAGGTCGGGTCTGTAGAGTGAAAAAAATGGTGCTGAAGATTCATGTCCACACTACATGCTCTTCTTGATGGTTTTCTTTGGACTAGCTCTGGTTGGTTCCAAGCAATGACTACCCATTGTTTGCTGAAGCACAGTAGGTGTGTCCCTGAACGCCACTTTTCTGTTTAGCTTCATCTGAAAGGAGTCTGGCTTGTGCTGACACTGTTCTTGTGCTGCGAAGTGGGGATGACAAGGAAGTTCAATTCAAAAGCACACTCTTGATTTGCACCAGAACGTCAGTGCTGATCCTCTCACAGACATCTCTGTTACCTAGAGAGCCTTTGGCTCTTAGTGTAGAATTACCTGTTCAATACGTACTAAATTAGGCAGAAAGGAACCTCTGCTTGTCTTAGCCGTGATACACAAGGCCATGAAAGTCTTACCTGTGTGCGTCCTTCGGTGAGCCTTCAGGTGGGAACTTTTTGTGTATACTTTGTTGCATCCCTCGAAGTCACACCGATGGATGCGCCGCTTCCTGGAGTCTGGAGACTCAGACCTTCTCTGACGCCTTGTGCTCTCAATACTGAATGGTGAAATTGAACTAAAAAACACAACAGAAGCAAAAAAATGAGGCAAGAGCATGGTGTATATCCTGGGCCCCAAAAGATCAGCTGTAATATGTCATTGTGCCAGAAGTGGCTTTAACGATTAAATATTTTTTATTTAAAGATTAAATATTTCCTTTTCTACAATGTAGTCCACAGCACATATTTGAAACAATCTGTGCGTCAACTAGAGCATATTTTGCAGTATGAAATAATGGAAGTCTTGATTTAGAAGTGCTTATTGCCAGAGAAAACACCATGATCCTTGAAATACTGCTCCGATAATGAAGTAGTCTGACTTTATCTGAGCTTTATTTCTGTTTTACACATGTCCAGATCCAATCTCACTGAACCCTGCTTTCTAAACAACTTTATAGCCCCCATAATTTCTCTTTGACAAGTTTAAATAATTAAAAATTATGAAATCTTCTGTGAAAAAGTGTTTCCAGTACCCAGATCTGGACTATGGATCCTCATATTTGGCCAAACACCTGTTGTTTGCTTGCATACAGATTGCTAACAGATCCATATCACCCTGCAGCAGCAATTTTTCCATTTCTTTATTTAACAATTCTCAATCTATCACCTGAAAGTCAATTAATTTGTTTCCTTTCAGACCACTGATAAATTAAAAGTTTATTAGCACAGGGCCAGCAAACAATCCCCACACAAACATGAATGCTCATCGAAGATACTCCATTTACAACAATGTCCTAATGCCTATCATGTATCTCAATTTTAAGCAATCAAAAATATAATGTTGAAGTCATGTTGCTTGAGTGAGTCTAATACTTGAAGAAAGCCTGCTACAATGATGCACTTGCCTTGGTTAGATAAACTTGTGTCATAAACTATTATCAAGCTGGTATGCCAAGATCCAAACCCTCACTGACTTCCAGTAATTATATTACCCAGCTATAAATCATTACTAATTGATAGCCTTATCAACCCCGTTATGGCTATACTGCACAGCAGTCACGTTCACCTACAGTTATACTAGCTTGTTCAGCTGCTTTAAGTACTGGAACAACATTGGCCTTCATCAAGTTTCTGGGGCTTCCCCCACATTCCTGGGTTTATTGACATTCAAGGTAAACAATCTAGAGATTTATCAGCCAGCTCTTTTAAACTCTTAAGATGAAAGTTCCCAGTTCTCCTGAAAGAATTTGTGACTGTCAAATGAAAATGAAACAGAAGAAAAGAAACTGAATCTGATCATGAAAAGAAGCACAAACCTTTGGGGAAGCTGAAATACTAAGGCAGGCATTTGAAAAAACCACTGATGTTGGTGCATCTGCTGAGAAGCTCCTGTGTCAACACCGATCTGCAGCCTTCTGTTACAACAGCCACTGCTCTTACAGCTACAGCTGTTCTGGCATAAACTTCACTTTTAGAGAATTCCAGAATTAGGCGAGGTTAAAACTTTGCATAAAGCATCTTGCACTATTAGCATGTGATTTCACTGATGTTCCAATTCTCTGCATTACAAATCTTTAAGCCTTGAATTAATGGTAGTCCAAACTACACAGTTTCCTTTTTGTTTAAAAATTTTTACAGTACAAACCTAATTTAAAACACTATTAAAAAAAAAGGAGTATTCTCTTTCTGACAGCCCTCTTTTTCTCTTACACTTGATATACATTCATTTCACCTTCAGGCAAAGAGATTTTCCAGATTAATTATTTTTGCCTATAATACAATGTGTGTAAACGGGCATGCAGGGAATTTCTGAAATGGAGAAAGAAATGGACAGAGGGCCATAATATCAACATTAACAAGCAAAAAGTAGTCCCCAAGAGAGTAAGGTACATCAACACTTTAACTATGTGACAGGAATACAGATATGTTTAGCTGTCACAGAAATGGATTAGGAATTACATTTAAGCATCTGCATCTCAGGGCAAGTAAAAGTCTTAGGTTAGATGATTCACTGAGAACAGGCTTGTTACTACAGTGTTTTTTTTTTAAAAAAAAAAAATATCCCACCAGCTAAAATAAAAAACAAACATGTAAATCAAATCTTAAAGCTCAGTACTGAAGGTACAAAATCCAGTCCTCAAGACCAGAAAATCTTTATCTTTAAAAATAAATATTTGTGCATCATTTTTGCTGCATGTGATTTATGAGCTGTCTTAAAAGGTTATTTTGTAACAGGGCGTTCAGATCCTGGAAAGTACATCTCGTTTAAATGGGAGGAGGATCAAGCTTGTAATGCTGCTGCAATTTCCAGCCCGGAGACAAAACGAACCTTGAGCAGAGTCAGCACCTTGTAAAAAGCTATTTGTCACGTACAAGAAAGTGACCTCACTGCTGGGAACTGCTCTGTGCTTTCCTGAGTATTTATACAGGAGAGGGTGGCATAAAGCAGTGCCGTGAAGGTGGCACAGGATCAATGCTGCTGCTTCTTAATTAGATTGCTCCTTCTTTCTAAAATGTGAAGCATCCTACCTATTCTACGCCAGGGAAAATAACTGATAAGCCACAGAAGGTGATGCGCGTTGCTACCATCCCCGGAGAGCTTCACTGCTCGGTGTGCTGAGGAGAAAGGTTACTGTCCGCTGGAACCAGCAAATGTAACCTCATGCCTTCCCATCACAGCAGTGCAGGCTACATGATGAACTAACCAGTAGAAGACACCCATGTGGCAGGTGAGAGCACACCTCCAAGGTGATCGTCTCTGACATTGACTCCTGTGGCACGGGGGAGCCCCACAGTGCAGACACGCTCTCTGGTGGAAAAGGAGCCAGATCCGATCTGGTACCACCAGCTCTGTTTTAGCCTTACAGAAGCTGTGTGAATTTTTAAAATGGGGATACCACAGGAAGCCCTAAAAAGAGCAAAAGGTGCTTTTTTGAGCTTCCTCAGGTTAGTCCTTCTCACAATGACTTTCAGTTGATTTGCTGATGTTCTTTCCTTTGGCCATGCAGTAGTAAAGGAACACCCTCCTCTCTCTTGAGCAGTTTCTACAAAATACCCTCATCAACCACACAGACATAAAAAAAAGTTCTCAAAACCATGTTTTGTGCCTTTTAAAGCCATGGGGGCTCTGCCACATGGCTCCAGCAACTACTGTTCGATGGCACCACAGCTGACAAAGAAAGACTTTGAGAATGTACATGACAGAGAACTCAGATATTTTAAAAAAACTGAGTTTTTTTCTTCTTGTTTACAATCTGTTTTAAAATCATGTAAAGTAAAATCAAACCAAACCAAACCAAAACCATATCGCAGCAGCCTCTCTTGACCCTTAGAGACTGCCCAGAGTGAAGACCTGGAAACACATCAGTAGCTGAGAGCTGCCAGTTCTCCTGTTAATGGCTGAGATGCCAAGCAGCCTTTAACGCTCAACGAGGGATTTAGCAATAGGACTGACACCATAGGTAACATCCCAGCAAAAATGCAGGATGTATCAAGTTACTGCTGATACATCGTTTGAAAGATAAATTAACAAAGAAAGAAGAAAACTGGGTTCTGACCTGTCAGCTTGATGTTTATCTATTTGCAGTTCCTTATTTCTAAAAACAGTGTAGTTTCTATATTAGTGTAGAAACTGTTACACTAACAGAAATTCTAGGACACTGCTGGTTGCCTCCATAAGCAGCTGCAACACCTGTAGTCAGTACTGTTCATAGGGCGAAATTAATGAAACCAATGTGAGCATTTAGGGTGATTTACAAAACCTCAGCTATGTTATTTCCAGCTAGAAGTGAAAGCATGGATCTCTGCAACTCGCACGTGGCCAAATGCTTGTCTCTCTGACGCAAAAAAGGCTGCAAGGTGAAACAAAAGACTAGGGCTTTGCCAGTAGATGGCCATCAAGTTCTGCTGAATGTGATCTGTGCTGCATGCAACACGGATTGCAACCACCTCGGTAATGCAGGATTATTTTTTCTTTCTATGAATGCTGCCCATGACCTCCTGGGTGTTTCACCTCTGTTCTACATACAGACTGTGAAAGGCCCTTTGCATATGCAGTAACACTGTTAAAAACACAAGTAGCAGGTCTTTAATCCCGATCCTGTGTTTTCTGAGCGATAGGCAGAGCAGAGCGGCCTGGGGAGCACAGTATGTTTATTAAAGCCTTGAACTGTGTTCAGTGCTGCAAGATGCACCAACAACATGCCATGCGGTGGTGACAAGTCGCTGCACACTGGCTGCTCCCCACAAACAGCTTGCTCGTGTGCTCTCACCCTGTGGTGAACATGCAGTGGTACCTTTGGCCACCAAAGTCTGAGCTTCCTGGTGCTGCTGGCCTCCCAGCAAACCAGGCAAGAGCTGGCTGACATGGCCAGCCAGTGATGTGCGGTGAGCCATGTTTTGCTCTTTGCTGTACAAACCAAAACAGTGTCCCAGTGTTGTGTTTTCTTCCTTATGATTGTCACTTTCACTCTTCCTTGGCCCCTCTGCTATGAGCTCGGGCTCTTTGGCTATGTCTCCTGCCTGCCTTGCAAAAAACCTCATGGAAAACACACTGACCCAAGGCCAACAGGTATAGACCAGCTCACGTCCAAAGTCCCCCCCACCTTACCATACATCCTTCCTTTACAGCATTCAGACTGTATTACCTTCCTCCCTAGCTGGCCCTGTAGTGAAACAAGAGATTTTATGGCAGCACCTTAACAATAGTCCACGGCTGCTAAAAACAGATGCTAACTTCACTCTGGGGTGAGACCCAGGCACATATCATCAGTGTCCCTTCCACTCTGGTTACCACGAGGAGAACCAGACTGGGCTCAGCCACGTGCAGCATCTGGTCAGCCTGGGCGAGGGGCTCAGCAGGCCACAGCGTGCCCCACAAGGTGGGCATAACACAAGCCATGGTCCTCTTTTGTTTCTCAGGCTCCAGGCTGTTGAAGGATGTGATTTGGCTAAGATGGCATACCAAGGCAGTCTTGCTGTAGTTGCTTTCCCTTGTGTCGGCACTGGCACTTGTATGATCCTGCAGCGAGCCAGTTCAGGGACCCACAATGGCGAAAAGTCAATTCTGCAAAAAAAAACCCAAGCAGCTTGCTTGCTTTTGCTGGTTTAACTCCCCAGATAGTTGTGTCTGACAAGTATCTGCACTGATATATGGGAGAGGCTGGGAACCTGTGGCCAGAGGTTAGGGGAGCATCAGCATCCCTTTCAGTGTCAACTAGCTGTGATTACTACCAATGATACAACTTCCATGAAAATTTAGAATACATATGAAGAAATTGAGAACATGGGCATAAGCAATCAACACAAGCAACAACTGGAAAATACACCTTTTGCTCCACAGCAAAGCTTCTTCTTGTTATACTTGTGTATATAACACACATAAATATAAACACATAAATAGATAGGCTGAAAACAAATATTGGGAGAGATACTACCATGCTAAACACAAGGTGACAATGTGCCTTGGCAATACAGGATAGAACCAACAGGCAAACATTCATCTCTCGCCCTCAGGCCAATTTTGGACATGCAGTTATTTACAGTTTTTCTTTTGTTTTTAAAGGGAAAAAAGATATAAATATACAACATTCAAACATACAAATAGTGTATCCATTTAGTAATGTGAATCTTTACGAGACATGCAAAGCTTCTGAGTCAACCTGTCAGTCATAGCAAATAAAAATGCAGACAAATGAAATAAAAGCACAAAACTAGAATGTAACTTGTCTGCATTCAGATGGTAATGAGCAGTTGAAGAAAATCTGGCTCTCTAGCATTTTCTCAGCATTCGAAGGGAAACTGGGCTGCAGAAAGAAACATCGTGGGTTTTGGCCACTTAGCATTTACAGAAACTAGAGCTCTTAAGTGAATAACGGAGCATAAATTGAGCTATATTTGAAAATCTTGGCCTCTGGATCCAGTGGTGGGACAGCACCCCCTGAGCACATGGAGCAGCGTGCTCCCGCAGACCCCCAGCCCTCCCTCGGGGAAGCGGGGCAGCAGCGACCGCAGGCGGCTCACGGAGCCGCTCCCCGCCAAGGACAGTCGGAAGCAGAGACGACCGCGGTCCCAACACCTTTCCTTGGCTCCTCTGGCACACTCCTGAATTGAGTGAGCACGTGCACAGCAGCACACCACTCACTCAGGGAGCTAATCTCACTTAAGATAAAGTATCCTCTTTCTGTTAAGACCTCCAAGTTCCAGATGCTAACAGGCATGATACAGGTACTCCGTGTGTTTTTGAAAAGGGGAATTGAACTGCATTTCCCATTTTCCAGATTTCAATTACTTTCTTTTGTAGTAGCTTTTCACATAATGTAATTTCATTTTCTGATAGCTCACATAATGCTACCTTCCCACTCAGGATATTGGTGAAAGTATCCTTATAAACACTACATATTAAACTGGGAAGAAATACGATACGGATGGTTTTTCATTACAGTTTATAAAACTTCAGTTAGTAGTGAGATGATAAAATTGTACTATATAGAAACACAGTAGTTTTTTTGCCTTAATATGCTTAAATATTGGTGTAATCTCCTGATAAAGTCTTCCCCTCAAATATTTACTTACTGCTTTCTTTTAATACAAAGTTTCTACTGTCTCCTGTTCACAGACAAACAGATGCACATGCATATATACATATGTATTTTTTCTCCTCTTTGATTCTTAGATTCTAATTAGTGTTTCATGAAAGGCAAACATCTGCCTTAGGAATGTTAGACATTAAAACATATCAAGCAGTACTTAAGGCAATCATAAAAAGAAAATATGTACTACTCTTTTATTAGTGGCAGTTACTTCAATCAGTGTACTTTAAGGTGATGTTATACTGGAAATTATACTTTTTGTCAAGAAAGAAAGGAGGAATTTGGCAGCATACATGAATGGTACACAAATAGGAAAATCACATGGGTAAACAAGACACAGATAAGAGATGATGTGAATATATGTGGTTCAGAAAGTGCATGAGCTGAAGATGGTGGGAAATTGCACTGGGAGCAGTTTGCTCTGTTATGCTCTGTCCTAGGTGTCCACTGCTGGTTGCTGCTGGAGGCAGGGCCCTGGGCAAGAGGATCCTCTGCTCTGGCTCCATATGGCCATTCCCATGCTCTTACATCCTTGTCCTGGGTGGTCAGGAAACAAACTACCCTGCACATCTCTGACCACGACTTTATCTGCAGCATTTATGCCCGCTGAGACCAGCTAAAGTTACCTGAACTGTAGAGCTGCCTTGCAATACTCGAGTGTGTTTGTCGTGGTTTGAGCCTGGTCAGCAGCCAAAAACCACGCAGCTGCTCACTCCTCTCTTCTCCCCAGAGATGAGAAGGGACAAATGAGCCAGGCTGGGGATTCGAGATAGGACCGGGAGGGGCAAATCACCCATTATGGTCACAGTTAAAAGGCAGACTCGTTAGGGGAAGAAAAAAAGAACATAGATTTATTACAGACACTAACAACACTTAACAGAGTAGGACAATGAGAAGCATTGTCACATCTTGAGATATCTCTACCTCCTCCCAGTGGCACAGGGGCAGGGAATGGGGGGTGCAGGCAGGGCTGCCCCTTCTTCCAGCTTTGGTGGGGGGAGCTTCTGGAACGTGTTCCCCCGGCTCCATCATGGTCCCCCTCTCACACGAGACAGTCCTCCACAAACTTTCTCCAACCGGATTCCCTCCCACGGCTGCAGCCCTTCCCGAGCTGCTCTGGCGTGGGACACCCCGACATGCTGCAATCCTCCCAGCACTGAACTACAACAATGGGGTTACCTTTTCGCACAAGACCTCGGCCTTCTTTGGGCACAGCACCTTGACTAGCCATGCAAAACACAGGCGATAAATCAATGTCTTCTCCACCGTAGATCTTCATGGGTGGCAGGGGGGGCCACCCTGCCGTCTCACCACAGGATACAGGGGGGTCTCTGCTCCGGCACACCTCCCCCCTCCTTTCTTCCCCGGTTCTTCCACTGACCTTGGTGTTCATGCAGCTGCAGCAACTCCTCCTCACAAGTCGGACTCCTCCTCACCATGTCCCTTCTTAAATACGTTATCGCAGAGGCGCAGCCGATTGGCTCAGTTTTGGTGCAGAGGTGGGCCTGACTTGGAGCTGGGGGAGCTTTGAGAAGCTTCTTACCACAGGGGGCCACCTCTATAGCCCCCTCCCCTGCTACCAAAAAACCCCACCACTCACTCAAACCCGGGACAGCGTTACAACATCTCTCTGGCTGTGGTGGAACCAAAAGCACTACTGTACATAAAACAAACTTCTGGCAGAGGGAAAGAGCTTGGAGGTCTACTAGGAAAAGCAGTAATATCAACCTGGCACACCTTACCAAAATTATCCACCGCCTCTGTTATCAGTTGTGTTAAACTGAGACATAAGAGAGACAGTTTCCAGATCCTCCTGATCTGTGTTCATGCTGTGGGATCCAGGAACACTATCCAGCGCCTAGGACAGTGCTGTCTTGGGGTATATCCCAGCTCCACACTAGGCTGAGACCTGAGTACACACCACATTCTCTTCTTTCACACTGTTCCGCTGTGCTGGGTTTCTAAGGAAAGGAAGCTGGGCCAGAAAGTATCTACGACATGTTCCAGCGTGTCCCCCAGATCTGATGACTGGAGGATTGGGGCTGCAACCCCCACTTCCATTAGAGAAAACGTATAAATCAAGACTATGATAAACTCTGAAACACCACTTAAAACACCCCCAAACAACTACCATCTATTTTACCCTTATCATTAATGAAGAAAATTTTACCCTAGAGAGTTATTATATAAAAAAGCAAAGGAATTACATGTTAACTATCTTGCACGTAAGCATTGTCCACATAATTAAATTGTTTATTCCCGGTTTTGGGAAAGTTCATAGCCATATGACAACTTGCACCGCCTGCAGCTCCTGCTCTAAGAACCAGAACCCGGGCCAGCCTCTAAGCAGAGACAAACTTATTCCTGCACAACTACATCCCGCGGTAGCCAAGCATGGGCAACAGCAGCTCCTGGACCACAGACACCCTTACCGAATTGCTGGGCTGCTGCTTAATAAAGATGAATTTCACATTTCTCCTAATATGGCAGGACATACAGAGCTTGTTTTCACCTTTAAAAGTTTTAGAAACATTTGACAGTAAGACGATGATGTCTTACATATAGACAAAATACTTTCAGTACTTTCAAAGATAATTCTGCTTCATTGCTCTCTGTCTTTCCCTTGTTTCAGATAGATGGACTCACATTAGGTGAGACACTTGTCCTTAGATTTTGAGGTGACAAAGAACAGCAGTTGTTTAAATCTGTTTAGGAGATTTTTTTTTCTAACATGTACAACATAGCAAAAATGCATGGCTGAATCATCGACAATTCCAGCTCATCAGGATGGCTGAACACAGTGCAAAGACTGCTCCGTATGCTGAAGCTCATGTTAACACATCTTTGTAGCACGGTGCATTGCTGTGGAATAAAGAATACTAGGAAAACTCAGCTGGGGAGGGACCTTCTGCTCAGCAGGGTTAACGTCAGACCTAGGTCAGATTGCTCATGGCCTTGTCCTGTCGAAGTCTGAAAATGTTTGAAGATAGAAAAAAATGCATCTCTCTGGGCAACATATTCCAGTGCTCAGACACACTCATGTTCTAAAGGGAGTTTCTAATGAATGCTCAATTTTTCTAAATAGTTACTACAAAAATGTTTTTATTTATAAATACACATATCTAAACATTATAATGAAAGATAACTGAGTGACCATGAGTTAACACAAGCCTTGGTTTATTTTTTTTTTTTTTTTAATTAGGTCAATTTGATTTAGGCCAATGTTCTTCAAAGCTGAAGTGGAAAACCATGAAAATAAAAAAACCTCAAGAAGTGAGGAAAACATATCTTCACAATGAACTTGCAGGTGGAATAAAGTGCATGAGCAAAGGTCTGTTCTTTGGATCTGAAGACAAAGCATTGTACATCTTCCTGAAAGCAGGTATAGTTCCTGAAATCCTGTATGCCAAGTGTGTTTGATGCACACCAGTTCAGGCCTGGGAGCTGAATGTAGTCTAGCAGAGAAAGAACATCT